GCTCTGTCTAACTCGGTAATTACCACTCCCCCTCCCCCAGCCCCTACCCCCACTCCAACCCTCACATCAAAGCCCTGATGCCCCAGCTCCATTAACCCCTGCCTCCCCACCGACCACCAGCTGCCCCCATTCCACCCCCTCCCCCATTCCCTGACCCAATTTGGTTCCCTCTGCCCTGTCCTGAGCACTGCCCTCCTATCTCCTCACTCCTCGTTGCTCTTGAGAGGCGGCATTTTTCCTTCCCTGACAGACTTCACCACACACCTCCCTATTGGCCAGGGCTGTGGGAGGCAAAGAAGGGACAGACTGGCCCTCCACTGGACCCCTGAGGAGATCGCCATGTGCCTTCTGCTCTTCTATAGTGGGGGCCCGGGAGCCCCTTCCTGATAGTGGCAATGGGAGGGCTGAAGGGGCCTGTGGGGGACCCTGTGCCCCTTTCCTGATCTCCCACCCCCCACTCCACTTAGCAGGAGGCAGACTCTAGCATTCTGGGTGGCCTTGGACAAGTCACCTCCTGTCCCTGGGCCTTGGTGCCCTCACCGTAAAGTAAAGTGAGAAGATTGGACCAGATGATCTCCAAGGCCCTTCTAGGTCTAATTTCTGGGTTAAACCGAGGGTTCAGAGCTGGAGGAAGCAGCCAAAGAGGCCAGGTGGAGAAGGGGAGAAAAACTCTCCCAGCGACATATCTCTCCCTCAGCTCCTCCCTCTGACAGTCCAGGGGAGGCACCCAAGGTCGCGCCCAGCCCCCGGCTGGAAGGAGGGTGCAGCTAGAGGGCGCTCTCCACAGTCGGCAGAGGATCGACTTCGTGTTCCCTAGTACCTCCGGCTCTCGTTCGTGCACAGGCTGGCGGAGGGCTGGCCCGGCGCCTGCTGCTAGCCTGACCGCGGCCGGCTGCCCGCCCCGCCCTCGTCTCATCCCCTCCGCAGCTTCATTTCCCCATCAAAGTGCACATTCTGGAATCCCCCTTGATGGGCCTTGATGATCAAGCCTCCCACTGCCCTCCCCCACCCAACTCTTGATTTCCGATGAGAACGTGGCAGGAGGGGGCTGCACCCCCCAGGAAATGACACAGTGCCAGGACTCGGGTGGGCTCAGGGCATGCTCTGGGCCGGATTGCGCCAGCCTTCTTTGCCCCTGCCCTTTTCTGCTCACAGCCTCATTGTCTCCCTACAGGGGAAGCTGCCAAGGCGGGAGGCCTGGAGGGGGGAATGGATGGCCACCCCACCCTACCCTGAACGCGGCAGGGGCCAGCAACAGGACTGCCAACGGAGTGCCAGGGGCCTCAGAGGAAGACAGGATAGGAAAGGGTGGGGGTGGCAGCTGGAAAACCTTGGTGTCGGGAGGAAGCCTGGGCCCTTTCCCTGCCTGCTTGTGGGGCCAGAGATGAGGCTGTCCTAGGCTTCTGCTTCTCTCTTCTCCATAAGGGAAGTGGGGGCGGGGGCTGCAAAATGCAAGATTGGGGGGAGAAAGGGACTGAGGAGTGAGACTGGGTTGTGTTTTTCCTAGTGGAACAAGGGGAGGGTTAGTTTCTTTCACAGAAAATATAAAACAGAAAGAGGAAAGAGGAAGAGAGAAGAAGGGAGATTGATTTGGCTATTCTGGGAAAGTGAGCTATTTTCTACATCCACTGACTGAAGGTATAAATAAAGATGGGGCAGACATTGAGAAGAACTTCCTGGAGGAGGCTGGGAGGACAGGGAACAGGGTGGAAGGGATGGGAGCTGGTGACCAGGAAGCCACAACCTCTCCCTCTCTGCCTCACACTCTAAAGGGAGTCTGTCAGGGCCAGAGGATAGGCTAGATGGCCTGGAGGCAGTGGGCTGGACAAAATGACCTCAGGAAGGCCTGGCCAATGTCCTGGAATCTGCGATTCACAAAGATATGGTTACTGATGAGAAAGAGAAAGAAAGACAGAGAGGCCGGAGGCAGAGTTTAGAAAGCATGCATTTGAGGAAGGAGGGGGAGGGGGAAAGAAGGTGGAAGGAAACTTCTCTGGAACCTGGAGCCAGGTCCCTGAGCTGATTCCAGGGCCTGGGCCACCCCCTCCAGGACCTTCCTATTCTAACCAGGACAGTTGAGTCACCCACAGGTCCTGGGGTCCTCTCTGGTCCCAGCCTCCTGGCTGCTAGAATTTCAGGATGGGCTGCATTAGGCTGCTGTGGGTCCAGCTGTTTCCTGGCCACTACTGGAGCTCCAGCCTGGCAAGCATTCCTGAGAAGTGGGGAGAAGGGGCCAGGAAGCAGGTCCTAGACATCAGGAAATAGCCTGCAGTCCCCTGGCCTGAAAGCTCCCAGCTGAAGTGGGGATGGGGAGAGGGTGGTGGCAGGAGAGCAATGGTGGGGTAGGGTGAAGACAGGAGTGTAAGCAGAGTCACAGATCCTGAAAGGGAGTTTGGGCTCAGACCAAAGGAATGAAGAGTCAGAAATAGACCGAGGAGAGTGAGGAGGGCCAGGCAGGCGGGAGAGGCAGGTTGTCTCCGAGGGCAACATCTTATCACCCCAGCCCCTCTCTTTCCACTCGGCTCTCCCTGCAGCCGCGGCCATGAAGGCCCCTGTGTTCTCCCACACCTGCCCTCCTCACCTCCTCCCTCACTCCCTGCTTCCCAGCTTCAGGGTCAGGTCCCAAGACCAGGCCTCTCTCCCTCTGCTTATCTCCCGTCCAGCAGCTCTTCCCGGACAAAGGAAGCCCCGTGGGTACAAACCTTAGAAAGGTGAGTCAACCAATTCAGTAACACTCTAGAAATCTCCCTCCCACCCCTATCTACTCTGTTCAGGGGACTCAGGGACCTAAAGACAAAGCCTCTGACTTCCAGGTGCTCAAGTCGAGCAGGGAAGAAGGACCCAAGTGGAGATGACTGTCATCAGTAAGATACAGTAATTGGCATCATTGCCTGGTGCATGGAAGGCAGTGGAAGCACAGAGAAGGCAAGCCTTAAGAGAGGAGAGAGATTGCTTCCTGGAGGAAGTGGTGTTTGAAGTGGAAGGATGGGAACAATTTGAACAGATGGAAAGGGAGGGGAAGAAAGGCAACCACCATCAAGGAGGGATCCATGAGAAAGGGCAAAGACAGGAGAGGTGTGTTCGGGGAACGAGAGAAGACAGAGCCCTTGACAAAGTTTTGCTTGGGACCTTGGGTTTAACATTTTAATTAATCCCCCTTTTCACCTCTGGGGAGCCTGGCCAGGAGCACGTGCGGTGTGGAGGGAGGGACTACATTTATTGAGCACCTTCTAATGTCAGATCATTTTGTAGGTCATCCCACCTAATTCTCCCAGCAAGTCTGCTAGGTAGGGAGACTTATCCCTATTTTACAGTTAAGACGTTGAGGGGGTGGGGAGGAAGGGACTTGCTCAAGGTTACATCTCAGGTTTGTCTGATTTCAAAGTTGCTACTGCGTTATGCCAAACCAGGATTAAAGGATGTAGGATCCCTAGCCGAGACCTGGGGTCGTCTTCAATTTGCCACCTCACTGGCCCTCCGAGGGGAGTCTTCCCCGAATCACGGAAGCGGGACCGCGGCCAGCAGCTCCCTGTGTGGGCATACTGCTCTCTATCTCCCCAGAGGACAGGGGTCTGCCTACCCCACCCGCCTCCCAAATCCGGGGGGCGAAGGAGGAGTGGAGGGTACAAAATCCAGCCAATGACGTCGCAGTATGCAAATAGACAAAACCTTGCCTTCTTAGGATTGGCTGATTCATTAGCTCTATTGTTCTAGTCCCTCCTCTTCAAACTCCGAGCCACTCCGGGCGGGTCTTCGCCGCTCCGGAGGCACAGAAAGTGGAAGAAAAAAGTCTTCGGGATCCAGTCTCTGAGCAGTCCTAGCACAGCTCCCACCTTCCCTGCCCCCGCCCCTAAAGCTCGATACTCCCGCAACCTTCGCTGCCTAGGTGTCTGCTCCGGAGGGCTAGGGCCAGGTCCGCAGACCGGCCCTAGGAAGATGCCCCCATCCCCTGCCTGGCCAAGTCTCTCTCCCTTCCACCAGTCGCCTCCTAGGTCCCAGACTGCACATTTTTAGTCCACGGTCCCCACGTCTGGAAGGGCCGGGAGCCTGGGTCTCTTTCCTGCCATTCCTCCTCTTCCTTGCTCGGGAAGGAGAAGGTAGAGAGAGCCAGGGTCCTCGCTCAGTTTCCCCATTGCATTCCCTTTCCCTCCACCACCGCCTGCTCCGAAGGAGCCCAGAGAGAAGGTGGTGGGTTGGGGAGGGGACGGCTGTTTGTCCCTCCTGCCTTGTGGCTTCTCTTCTTCCTCTCTTTCTAATCCAGTCCACTCGTCTACTTCCAGGGCCCTCACCACACACTCCTTTCTTCTGTTTTCTGACTACAGATGTTTCCCGGTCTCCCCGGTGTTATCTCTGACCTGGACTGAGCGCATAACTGGCGGGACCGAATGTGCCCTGGCCCTGCCCTGGCGCTGCCCTGGGGTTAAGTGGCAGCTCAGAAGCGCTCCTGGCAGATGCCGGGAAGACAGCGGCACGCGCCTGGCCCCACGCCCCGGCTCGCGCCTGGCCCCCGGGCGCAGGTAGAGCCGGCAGCTGAGGGACGCAGCGCC